CTACAGGTTACAGATGTTCCCTAAACGCCTCACTTCTTCATCATGACTAAATCAATGCAAACTGCTCATCAAGCGACCACATTATGTGTTTTTAAGACTGTTATTGGCGGCTGTGTGAACCGGTGTCATGAAAAGCTTCTTAAATAGGTTTTGTTGGTCATCTGTTTCTGACATATTTACTGTTTTTCTCCTGTTTCTCGCCCATTTTGCTGCACACATGTGGCACAAACTCCCTTAAATCTGAGTCAGATATGTTCTATTAAACAGACTGTTTGGTGGATCAGTCGAGAGGTTTTCTTGTTGGAGTTAATTTGCCTGAAATCACTCAATGTTCCACTCACTACGCCTCCAGTTGTGCAGTTCCTCCTCCTTGTTGTATAATTTTACAGCTTCCACCATCCTGAGCGACTGCTAGCGATCAGCTTCCCTGCAGGGATAAATACAGTCTGAAAGCATCGCTGTCGTTTTGTTTTTTTGCTCTTTAAAAATCTAATTTGTGCCTCCAACCGCACAGAACCCGCTCGTCTTTCTGTCGGTTTCCGGCCTCCTGAGCGTCTCCTCCGTGTCTCCTCTGCTGTGTTTTTCAGAGTCTCTCCTAAATTATGTGTTCCCTCCATATTTTTATCTGCTCGGGCAGCGACTAGTTTGTCCCGCCGCAGCCTCAGATCCCGGCCTTTGATATAAAATGTGAAATATAATGCCGAGTCTTCCCCAGAAAGCTCCCACTGTGACCCTGGAAGGAGATGTGACGAGTGGGCGCCCGCTCTGGGCCACGCTGCTGCGTTTCCTCTCCTCTGTTGCTGTCGTGTGTTTAACCAGCACATCTGGTTCGCTTGTCGTCCGGCTCGTTCCCGTCTTTGTATCTCAAATTATCTGCTCCGTTGGTATTTTTCTGGCTCCGAGGAAGAAACTCTGCTCCTCAGCTTTGAACGCCCAGAAGTCTTCTTCTTGATGATATCAGCAGTTTTTGTGCTCGTTTGATTCCCAAACCAGCAGGTTAGCTTAGCTTAGCATAAAGACTGGAAGTGAAGGGAAACTGCTAGCCTGGCTGCGTTCACAACTCTGTTTCGGGTCTTAATGCTAAGCTAAGTTCACCGTCGCCCTCATTTAGTGTCTTTAATATAATGACAGGACATTAATTAGCAGCTATGTCGCATAAATACCAACATTTACTGCCTCTAGCGCCTTAAATGTGTGACTTTTCTTACTTTTTAAAATTAAATTGTGACAGTACCAGGCTTGGTACAGAGCTAAGCTAGCTGCTCACCTCTGTTTCCAGTGTTTATGCTAAGCTAAGCTAACTGTTTAATCATTCTGGCTTCATATTTAGGTTTAAGATTTAACTTTAAAACAACGCATGACCTAAAATTTTGCTCTTTTTGTGTCAGAAATGTCGATCAGTCATTTTTTTTAGGCCAAAATGCCAAAAGTTCTTCAGTTCTAGCTTCTTAAAAGTGCAAATTTTTTTCTTTTATTTATCAGAAACTGAGCTGTAACTGCAGCAGCAAGTCAATTAATTAGCTAATTAAGCCATTTTTTTAAGCAACAGTGCATTTTATTGTCTAGTTACAGCTTCTCAAATGCAATGTTTTGGTCGTATGTGATCAGAAACAGGGAAACTATCACCAGCTTTTACTTTTTTTCTAATATTTTACAGACGAGATAAGAAAAATCAGCGCTAAACTTCACATTTTCAAGTTTTCTAGGGACAAATACACAATAATATGGACATCAGCAGCAGCAGCAGCTTTTCTGCTGTTAATCTTCTTTCCTGCTGTTTTATGCGGCTGCAGTTTGGACTCGGATGATTCTGTGTCGCCGGAGGAGCTCGGAGGGTCTATGAAGCCCTCAGGAAGCTCGGCGGGCGACAACCGAAGGTGTTCAAAGCGAAGCTGCTCGACGGGAGCTCAGAGTCGAGGAGCAGCGAGTCGATGTTGAAGAGGTGTCGAGCGAAACACAGGCGTCGTTTGCTTTTAAAACACGTGAAAGGTGTCGGAGGGTAAACCAGAAATTAATGGGGAGAAAAGGTGGAACATCTGAGACGTTAGGTTGAAACGACAGATTCTTTCAGGCTTTTGGAGGCATTAAAAATAAAGAGTTTGACTGTCGACCGGCAGCAGATGAGCACATTCACAGCAGATACAGGCTTTGGATGTGTTTATTTAGCATCGTGGGGATTTATTCTCAACTACGAGTCTAACTTTCTTATTTTGACAAAGTCTAAAGCTGCAAAGAACCCATGCTGCACAAAAAAAAGACTTAGAAACCTATAAAATATGCCCAGATGCAGCAGAAACATGTACGAATCGTGTTTCCCAGCGATTAGACGGATCCCAGGAGGTTAATCTGCAACGCTGCACATATGACTGATGGAGAGAAACAACCTAAAGTTAATTAAAATGTCTGCATCTTTCACATGTGGTGTTTTTTGCTTCGACTCTCGCCACAGTTTTGTGCTTTTAATCATTTCTCAGACGTTTATTGTCGCCGTACGGGAACGTTTCAAGGACTCATAACCGTCCAGCGTCTCTGAATCCTACGTGAAACGCTCTGGTGATTGCTTCTTCGTTTTTCCGCTCGCGTCGGAACAGAACGTTCGCGCAGATTGATCGAGGACGCCGTCGACCACTTCACACGGACCTCGTCCTCCAAAATGGCCGCCTCCCCGCTGTGCTGGGTCCACGGGGGGGAGGCCAGCGGGTCGTTCTGCGGTTCTGCCTGTTATCCTCGTTTGGCCTGGACGGGCCGGATCCAGAGCTTCTGTGTTTAACCAGCAGCCTGCACATGAGTGTTGTTGTTATTGATTCTTGGTCTTTTGTCGTCCAAAACCCAAAGATTTTCACTTTAGTATCGAACACAAGGAAAGAAAACCGAGATTTTTGTGCTTCTGCTTGAATTTGCTCCAAACGTTTTGCAGCTGAATGAATCATTTCAGGGTTTTAGGGCTTCGTCTGTCCTCCTCTCACCTCCGTCCATCATCGCTTCAGACTGTCTTCCTCCACAAAATACCCACCTGCATCCTCCCAGAAAGGGTATTTTAAGGGCCTGCCGGGTTATTTTTCTTCTCTGTGGCGATAAGAGCGGCTCGATAAGCAGGAGGAAGAGGAAGAGGACGAAGAGCTGTTGTAAGACGACAGGAAGCAGCAGGCAGCTCCACCCTGATGGACCTGATGCGCTCTTCCTCTTTCTGTTTGTTTTTTTTTTTTTTTCTCGCTTCACACTTGTTTCATCAGATGTTTTCCAGAAATTGGGCCTCTGATATCACGTTGCCATGCACATATTTGTTCTTGTTGTTATATCTTGGACTGGTTTTGGTTCCTCCTGGCTGCTGCCTCTTCTCGTTTCTGCAGAAAAAACATAAATCAGAAGTTTTAATTTGGGCAGAAAGTCGACGCATGAGCCTTGTTTTGTGTTTTAAGGTGAAGTTTTTGCCGTTTGTCTGAGTCAGGAGCTGCAGAAACGTGAAGGTGTCGCGTTTTTGTTGAGCAAATGAAGCGAATCGAAGCTTAAAATCGTGATGTTCCTCCACATTCAAACCGTTTGCTCGCGTTCTGTCAGAAAACTGAGGAGCAGCGACGGAATCGTGCTGCAAAAAAAAAAAAAGATTCAGGTTTGTGTTTACAGATAGGAGACGTTATGAGAGAAATAAAACCAATAAAATAAACGCAGCACGGCTCAGGAGCGGTGAGCAGAGCAGCCAGGCGGTGGAGGATACGGTCAGCACGGTGAAACATCTTTAAGGTGGAGAGAAAAACCGAAACGGAAAAACATCTGCAGCTCGTGGAGCCTCCATGTTTTATTTTTTTACAGTATTGGTGATATGTTTGGAAACTTGGGAGAAAAAACTAAATAAAAAGAAGATATTTCTGATTATTTCTCCTTCTTAAATTAGTTTAATTCAATTTTATTTAGTTTCATTTATTGATGTGTGTGTTTATTTTCTATCTGTCTATATGTGTATTCATATTTAATTTATTTCTTTTGTGTTTTTATTCTTTGTTTTTCTTGTTAGTTGGTCTAAACAGGTGCTCAACAGGTTTTATTGTGTATAACTGTGTTGAATAAAGGTCTTGAGTTGAATCTTGAATCTTGAATCTTGTGTCCGTGGAGCTGCAGGACGTTTTTATTGAACCTCCAGTGGAGATAAACGTAGAAGCTGGTTGGACTTCAGCCGACTGACCTCCTGTTTCTCCTCCTGCAGCCACCTTGAAGGTCGGCCAGAGCAGCTCCAGCTGGACCAGCGAGCGAAGCCTGATGTTCGGAGGAGCCTCCCAGAACGCCGCTCTGCCTCCGTCCACCTCCTCCTCCTCCTCCTCCGCCGCCGCCGTCCAGCCGCCGCCCGCCGTGGTGACGTCCATCGACGGCGTCAGCTTCTCCGAGGGAGACCTGCTGCTCCAGGTGACGCCTCAAACGACGCCGACGGGATCCGCGGACCGGACGACGGCGCTTTAAGTAAAGTTTTGTGTTTTTGTTGTGCAGGCGCTGAACGGCTTCGTGTTGGTGGTGACGGCTGAAGGCTACGTCTTCTACACGTCGCCGACCATCCAGGACTTCCTCGGCTTCCATCAGGTAAAACCCACCAGTGGCGTCAGGGTCACGGAGAGCGTCGCATAACCGAATAAAAGTCTGAACGCTCGTCTGTTTCACACGCAAAGCTGCCGAATGAAGGCAAGAAATGGAGAAACATCTGTCAAATCAGATGTTTCTGCACAAAAAATGTCACAAGAAGCAGCTTTAAAACCACTGAAATCCAAAAAAAGTCAATTAAAAATGAAAAAATAATGATTTTCACTGCTTCAGAATTAAAATCCTTGTTTTTGCACAAAAAATGTGATGAAATTAGTTAAAAACGAGCTTCAAAAACATTAAAATCAAATGTAAATTCAAGTTTAAAACACCACAACTCTCCTGTTTGTTGTTACAGAAGCATGGACTGAATAATTAGATGTTTCTGCACAAGTCGTTGAAGATCTGAGTCATTTTGAGACTTGATTCATTCTTGATTTGATGTTTTTGTGCAAGAAATGTCATAAAAAGCAGCTTTGAAACCACTTAAAACAATAAAAAAGTCGCTTAAAGTTGGAAAAAATGTAAAAAT